AGAGCCGGGTGGTGGTGGCACATGCCTTTAATCCCAGCACTTGGGAGGCAGGCGGATCTCTGAGTTCGAGGCCAGCCTGGTCTACAGAGTGAGTTCCAGGACAGCCAGGGCTACACAGAGAAACTCTGTCTTGAAAAACCAAAAAGAAAAAAAAAAGAAAAAAAAAGATATGGGAGAGACTGGGGTTGGCTCAAACAATGTGTGTTTAGCATGTTTGATGCCCTAAGTTCAATTCCCAGGACTGCAAAAAAAGAAAAATGATGTAAAAGGAGGGCAGAAGTCTGCTGAAGTTTTCATCTCTGCTTGCTGTAACTTTGGTAGTTTAGATGAATCCAGAAAGTCATCCATTTCACTTAGCTTTTCCAACTTAATGGATGCGGTGATTTGAATGTGTTTGGTCATGGGAAGTGGCACTATTAGGAGGTGTGACTTTGTTAGAGGAAGTGTGTCACTGTGGGGGTGGGCTTTGAGGTAATATATATGGCCAGGCTCTGCCTACTGTAAGACAGTCTCTCCTGTCTGAAATTGGATCAAGATACAGAACTCTTGGCTTCTTCTTCAGCACCAGGTCTTCTTGGACACTGCCATGCTTCCTGCCATGATGATAATGGATTGAACCTCTGAAACTGTAAACCAGCTCCGATTAAAAGTTGTCCCTTAAAAGAGTTGCCTTGGTCATTGTGTTTTTTTCACAGCAATAAAACCATAATTAAGATAGAAGGTGGTACCAGGGACTGTGGTATTGCTGTGATAGGCCTGACCATGTTTTTGTTTGGAGGAATGTGGACTTTGGGACTTTGGATTTGGGAAGCAGTAAAATGCTTTAAGTGGGGCTTAATGAACTATTGTAGTAGAAATATGAAAGACATTAGTGCTGAGGGTGATTTGAACTTGTGCAGCCCTTGCTCTAGGGGTTTCAGAGGAGAGGAATTTTAGTATGTTGCCTGGAGATTATTTTTCAATGTTTGGGTGAAAAATGTGGCTACATTTTGTTCTTGTCTGAAGAGTCTGCCTGAGGCTAAGTTGAAGATATTCAGATTAATTGCACTGACAAAGGAAGTATCCAAAAAGTCCAGCGTAGATTTTGTCTTCTGGTTTGCTCTCATCAAGAGCATTTTGATCAAGTGTAGAAAGCTTAGAAAGGAAAAACAAAAAACAGTATGGTTCAAAGAATAAAGAGGCACCAGGAAGTGGAATGTAGCTAAATCCTGTATTCAAGATTATTAAATGAAATTAAGGGAGTGGTGACCTTGGAGCAAGCTGATTGCTTATGCTTTTGCAGTTGAACAAAGGATAGTTATCATATTAGTGACTATTATGACCTGGTTATTGTTTTCACTTAGGCTTTTAATCTGGAATGAACTACAATCCATAAATGGAGGGCATATAATCACGATCTTGAGGCTGAAAGACACAGGCTTCTTGAGGCATGGTGGCCCTGAAAAGCTCAGGTCTAGGCATTGTGGTACACGCCTTTATTACCAGGAGATAGAGGCTAACAGACCTCTAAGTTCAAGTCCAGCCTGGTACAGATAAGTTTCAGATAAAGTAAGTCTTAGTATAGTGGTACAGGCCTCTAGTCCCAGAACTCAGGAGACAGAAGCATGCAGATCTCTGAGTTAAAGGTCGGTCTACAGAGCCATTTCTAACACAGCCAAGCTTAGACAGTGAAAGAGTTGGAAAACAGAAAGCTTGTGATAATGTCATAGAATAAGGGGGGTATGTTTCAGCCCCAGGAAGCAGCAGAACTTGACAGCCTCAGCCATGTGACTCTGGCTTTAGAATCAAGAATAGAAGGAACTACAGGGGCAGTTGATGCTATTTAGCAGGAGCTAAACAATTATCAGTGATTAAAAAGAGACCAGCATCACTGAGGTGAAATTTTCTGGGTAGTGTTTTCTGAGAGCACAAAGAAGCTTTGTTCCAAAGATAAACTTCTCACTGGCAGCTGGACTTGGTAATGTGTCAACCAGGTGGTGCTGGTTTTAAAGGCATGAAGGAGTCATGAAGAGGAACTGAGGCTTGGCACTGTGAGAGGCCAGAAAAGCTCATTGGTGAAGGTACAGCCTCAGTTGCAGTTGATGGCTCAGGATTGAAGAGGTC